GCCTCCAGCCCTCAAAATTGACAGACCCTCAATGACAGAATTCTGGCCTTGGTCCTGAAACAAGGCCTGTAGCACTACAGAATGGGAGTTGACAACACCTGCCACAGAGAGAGTGCCTATTTCTCTTAAGGCACTGTGGGGCTTGTTACCGCTCTGGCATCTTGCACACTCACTTGCATACCCAGCTATCTGGCTCTGCCTGGTGCTAAAAAGAGCAGATGACGTGATTTCAAACCTGCGGTTTTTGCCGGCATTCCAGATTTGTAATTTTTTTTTGGACTTCCAAAAACTGTCTCGTATGGCTTTTCTCGGTTTTCTTTTGCCGCATTCGGTTCTAACAAAATCTACAAGTGTCAGACCGCGAGTTCCATTTTCTGAACTTATGTTCAGTTCTGGGTTTGATTTGGATGTTCAAATGGGTTTGCATCCAGTGGATTGGTTGGTGGTGAGGTGGGTGGTGGAAAGTGGTTGTTGCAGTTGGTTGGTGGTGGTTGTTTGGTGGTTTTGAGTTGTGCACATTTTTCATTTTCTTTTAAAAGTATTTGGAAGGAACAGGTAAGAAAACGACCCAAACTAGTTTGAAAACGGATTTGATTGTTTTCTTTTCGTATTTGGCACTGTGGCTTTCTTCTTGTAGATTTGAATTTGATATCTTTTGGATCTGGGGTTGAAACTTGTGTTCGAGTCTTGGGTTCGAACCTTGGGTTCGGGGGTTCTCTGTTCGAACTCCAGTTCGAATCCAGTTTCAAGAATTCCCACCGACCTTGCGAAATCTCATGCTCGATTCCAAGGCCATCAACCACCGAAAAGATAGGCTTTCAGGCTTAGCGAAGCCATTTGGACCTGACTTTTCGTTAGATACCCCCAAGCATGGTTGCAAAGCATTCTCCGATGGATACCCTTGAAATAAGCCCGCGATCCTAACATTTTGGACACGGAAGGGGCCAATGCAACAAAAACAATGTGATTCAAACCCATTGAACCCCATGCGATGTTTCTCGTTTTGTCAACTTGTGCAAACTTGCACGAACATGCTGTGTCGGTGAACTAACATGTTGATACATGTGCAAACATCATCTTGGAGCGTGCTCGGAGAGCTGGATGGCATCGAGCCTGTTGAAGTCGACGCCAAGTGCATGTGGTTCGGGCTGTGGCTATGCGAAATGAAATGAACACCGTTTATGCTACGGCAGAGCAACATGCACGAGCCACAGACTGCAATGGTTTTAAGTTCTTCTCGTAAGCCCATCGTGGGATGCATGGCGACGCTTCCCGCTGGCGACAACGTTGAGGCTGTGACAAGCACGGAATAAATTTCTCAAGTAGGAAATGGGATGTTGTTTGCAACGCAAAAGGCACGTCGTCGACCATTGGCCCCTCTTTGGGCTGATGAAAACATTCGCCATGCGCTGTGCTGAGAACCCATTGACAATAGCCATGGCATATTCTATCGGGTCCGACCCCAGTCAATTCGACATGTGTTGAAAGCTGAACGCATTGAGCATGGGTTTGTTATTGTGCTGAGGCAGATTCCAAGGGCGGGGCTCTCCGCCCATTGCAGGAGGAGGATTCAAAGCAGCATTGTTCACGTGTTGGTGCTAGGCTGCTAGATTTATGGCTTGACGTGATCTGCTTGATTAGAGGTGGCAAACTCTGCAGGAAAGTGCATGTTGACAGCGAAATGTCAGGTTGCTGTGCGGTACAAGGAGCTCGTGAAGAGAGAGCAGGCTTGCAGAGTGCAGCTGTGCCTGCTGAGCAAATCCCATCGTCGCCATGCTCAGGCACTGGCGGCCCGTGAACAGTTGGCCTTCGAAGTCTGCCAAGCCCAGGAGAGTAGCTGAGTGTAAGGATTCCGTAACAGCCGCAGCTTGTGCACTGACACATGTCAGCCTAACTTTACGGAACAGCAGCAGATAAGGCTCAGATAAGGCAGTGTGGTGTAATGTAATTTGCTGAAGCGTTCAGGAGGAGCGTGAGCAGGATTTGGAGGCATTGGCGTTGCGCCTTCAGCAGCAGACGGAGGTGGGTTTCATGGCTTCAATCAACACACGAACCAATCAGGCAGTAAACACACCGCTTATGCCATCATGTCTCCTAAGGTCCTAAACCACACTATTGTAACCTCTGTGTGTCTTTGATGAATGCGTCTGTGCTGTTGCTCAAGCGACCAGCGACTTGAGAAGACGACGGCAGTTAGCTGCCTTAAAACAATTGCCATCGCGCGCTCGATATTCTTGACATGCCGCGGAAGCCGATCGTTGGAGGAAACTGGTCGCGGCCTTATGATAGCACATAGTGTCATGTTATGTTGGACAGGCAGTGGAGACGGCACGCAGCCCGCAATCCGACTAGCAGGAAGTGCAACCCGAAGACGATCAAAGAAGCACTGCAGCTAATCCAGGACTGGAAGAACCAGGCGTTGCTTTGCAGGGCTGTTCTGTTCCTCACTTCAGCAAGGTGAGTTCCTGCAAAGCATGATTCCGCACTGCGTCAGTTTCTTGCTATCGAAACGTCTTTGTATGGTATTGGCATCCAGTCGTGGTGGAGTCTCTGTTGAGTTGGTCCTGTGCCGGCAGGTACCTGTGGACAAGAGAAAAATCGAGGTGTTTGCATGCCCTATGTTGTGCGAGGCTTAGAGAACAAGCAGAGTGTTCCGTCTGCACTTCTGAGTAGCACCAAAGGCACCTTTGTTGGGCTTGGTGATGTTGCCATCAGCTTCCTTTGCTCGAAGGGAATACAGAAAGACCACTTGTGCTTGTTGAGTGTTTGGGCCTTCAGAGACCTCAACTCCGCCGGCTCACTGATGGCGATGACGATTGAGTATAGGGAGCAATATGGTCCACCCGCAAGACACAGAATGCTGTTAGGCAGAAATACATATCTCTTTCTCGAGCAATACATAGCATGCATTGCACGCACATGCACAACAAGCTTACATATGCACAAACATGCATACATACATACAGACATACATACATACATACAGACATACATACATTCATACATGTTCTCTTGTGCAGGATCCTGCCTGCTATGGACTTCGAAGGTTTGCATTTTGCGTACCAAATCTGGTCTTGGATCTTGGCATGTGGAGAATCAGCATTTGTTCTGATTTTAGGCCCCATCTTCTGAAAGTGAAGCAGCCTCTTGAGAAGATGGGCATCTCTGCTTGCGCGCAGAACTGTGGAGGGCTTAGTTCCACAAGCGATTCATGCATGCAGCCCACGTCAATATGCTCCTGTCGAGAGCTGGAACGTATTGAAAAAATTGTGCTTTGAGCATCAGTGGCGCAGGCAGCAAGACCGGGGAGGGAGCATTCACTGGAGAGGCCTATCGGATATGTGTGCAGTTGCTGTGCTCTTCAGGTTTTGGCATGATCCTTTGAACGACTCTTCGTCTGGAAAGTGCACATAAGAAGGGCGGTCTGCATCAATTTGACGGTTCCGTGCCTATTTTGGCTGGGACTCGTGTTGAAGGCCTCCAAACATTGCGCGCAAGCTGCAGTCTTGCACACATGTTGTGTTGGTTTGGACTCATGTTTCCGGTGCATGTGCGCAGTGCCTGTGATCTAGGGTGCCCTTCGTTGTTCCACCACAGTGTGCAAATTGAGCTCCTCAGGAGTGCTTCTGGAATGGTTCTAGGGTATGTGGAGCTTGGACTGCTTAAATGCTGTTTCATTGTTTGGGATCTATGCTGGCAGAATTTTCTTCCTGTTGCCGTGCTGGCAGAATTTTCTTCCTGTTGCCGCGCGGCATTACCAGTTTCCTAGAAGCCATCAATCCCTTTCGATAGTATTCTCCTGCCCCATTCTTGCGAGCATTCAGCGGAGGTCAGCGCAGCGCAGTTGAAGGACTCGCGCGTGCAGCAACTGGGGCAGAAATCAGCAAATGCATCGCAACATGTCGTCGTGCTGGTATTGCATGTCATCACTCATTCAGACAATTTGCTCACAACTCAAATAAACCACTAGTTCCGCTCCAGCTACACTGGTCGATGTTGGTGATCTTCGTCCATCCAGCCAATCCTACACGCCGACTGTACGAGACAACAAGGCTTCTTGCCTGTGCGGAGCAGGTGGACTCTAGTTGGCCACTCTGAGCGGCGGACCAAGTATGGCGAAACCGATGAGGTGCCTGGAGCAGAGTTGTGGCACATGTGGAGCACTGCAATCTGGACAGCAATCATAAACAGGGCTTCAGTAGCTAGGTAGCTTGAGCATCCAGCTTTTGGACCGATGCCCATGAGTTCAAGTGACAGGACGTCGCAGAAAAGGTGGCCCAAGCCCTCGCTGCAGACCTCAAGGTGCTTGACTGCTTGACGGTTTTTGATTAAGTCGGATCATCGGATCCTGACCTTTTTACAGCTGAGAGCAGGTGGTCTTGGCAATTGGCGAGCTGCTGGAGGAGCGTGAGGTCGTCTGCCCCTTTCTTCAATCCGTTCCATGTAAACCGGGTGGATGTGCGTGAGGGTGGGAAGACCAATGAAGTCAATGAGCGGATGCTGGCACCGGTCATTAAGAAAGTGAAGGCTGAGGCGGAGTTGTTTCTGCACGTGTGCAGCCCTGCCACCGTGTAACTGGCTCGTTTTCTCCGCAGGACTGGAACCGCATCGTCATTGCATACGAGCCTGTTTGGGCCATTGGAACAGGAAAGGTGGCAACGCCCGAACAGGTGCGGCGAGACATCGGACGAAAATCGTCGACTGTTTGCACCAGTCTGTGTTCCAGATTACAGGCAGAGGAGACGCATGCCGCGATCCGCTCTTACCTGGCGAAGGCTGTGAGCGAGGACGTGGCAGAAAAGGCCTGAGCACTTGTTGTATGTAGCCCGTTTGAAAACGAGCTTTGTCGTCTGGTAGAGGTCCGGATCCAGTATGGCGGCTCTGTTACCGTGGAGAACTGCCTGATTCTAAGTACTTGCTTGTGTGTCCTGCATGTTTGCAATCCCTGCAGTTTTGCAACCTTCCTAGGCGCAGAGCTCATCAAGAAGCCGAACATTGACGGCTTCTTGGTTGGAGGCTGCAGCAGGAGGAACGTCTTCCCGTACTTGTGCTGCAAATGTGATGTGCTTGTGAGGCGCATCGCTGAAGCCGTCCTTCATGGAGATCATCCAGCTCTCCAGCATATTTTTGCTTTGGTTTTCTTGGTCAGAGGTTATCTTGCAAGCGCGCGAGGAAGAGCACTCCTCCGCCGGTTCTGAAGAAGCCCAAGTTCTCGAAGGTGTCGGAGCTCCTTCCCAACACGAAGGTTCTCAGCCTCGATTGTTAAGAGGTCTTTCATGCATTTCCTGACAACGGACTTTCGTGAGAATGCTGGTAAGTTGTACGTTGGGTTTTTGCGTCGACTTGACCATTCCTTGTGGCCTAGACCCGGAAGGGCAACTTCAAATTCTGCCAAGCCTCACATGCCAATCTACAACTGACTTGTGCAATATCCAGCTTCCTCCTTCATGCCCCAACAGCAGGAACGTCTCAAGCATTCCAACGACGTCCGACCTGTATGAGAAATGCAATTTTGTGCCACATAGTCTGCACTTGGCTGCCATGGTGTGCGGCGATTGCGCACGGGTTGCCGCTGCGACGAGCTTGCTGAGCCTCGGTGAATACAGGGCCTGGGCGAAGTTGGCAGCTTTCATCTGGCGGGGGCATTCGGCGGCAAGTTTGAGTGCCGCAATTGACGGGTGTTCTGAGGACGCGCGGCTGGCGACGGCTGTTGCGCTTAGCCGGACGCAAGCGTTCTATCAGTTGGGATCCCAGCCCTTCCACTAACGGCCAAAGTTGTAAAGTACCGGCGACTGCGACAAGATGCGACAAGCTGAGGTCTCTTGACGACGCTTTTTGTGGTGCGTGCCGCACAGATAGGGCAACTCCAGCGCTGGGGAGGCTGCGCACCGAGCATATCACACCAGCATCCCTTATCTCGATTGTGTTGCTAGGCCTTGTGGCCAAGCTTTCTGATGACCCTTTCTGGCTCTCTGCGGCTCTCCTTGGCGTGGCAGCGGGGAGTTCCACCAAAATGGTTGACAAAGGTTGTAGACATGCCAGATGTTCCCATGTTTACATGCAATCGCTTGGGCAAGGTGGAGCAGCTACTCGTTTGTGGTTAAGCGAAAGAGCATGATCGGTTTTGCCCTGACAGGCATCTGTATTGTTGCCTGTTCCGCGGGTCATGCTTCTGGCCCCGGCAGTGGTGGTCATGCTCATCTGTGAAGTAGAGCTGCTCGGCCGCTGTCGGGTTTTGGTAGTACAGCATCTATGAACGGTCCCAAAGATCCGGGCGATACCATCGAAAAGACAAACGCTGCAGCAGGCAGAGGACTTGTCTTGAGTTTATTGGAAGCATTTTGCAGCCACAATACACGAAAGACCAGGTTGGAGCCCGGCTTGTTCTTCGGTGCTGTGGCATGGCTGATGCAGACATTGCAACTCCTTTCGGAGCTCATTTGTAGTATCAAGGCCTGGTGCTGGTTTGCTGACTTGCTATGCTGCACATACACCGTTCACGTGCGCCAGAGTGCCTCCGATTTTTGTTGAGACTGCAGGAGTTCCTCATATGCATTCTCCACTCCTGGACCTCGCAGCCTCAACGTGCCGCGGGACGTGACTCTGGAGGTTCGAGAAGACTGACACGACGGGTCGTGGCTGTTGCCTCGAGGTTGTCGTTGCATTCTAGATTTTCTAGATTCTGGACCTTGTGTGGTTGGTGCAAATTCGGAGGTGGCAGGTTCGAGGAAGTTATTGATTGCCACTTATGGGATTCTTCGCCATTCTGGCAATTAATTATAGCCTGGCACACCATTGGCAACAGCCCGTACTGCTCAGACAAATGATTGCTCAGATATTCCCGGAAAGCATTCTGCCAGCATCTATGACCCATGCTAAATGAGTAATTACTTAAGAAGGGGAACCGTGAACTTGGTTGTCCGATGTTGTTCGCCACTTTGCACCAGACTTTCGCGTATGCAACATAGTGCAAGCAAAGGGTCTTAATGAGTCACGTGAATGTTGTTTTATTGTGACAGCGCGAAATGTGAAGAATGGCGGGAGGGCTGAAGAAGGAAGAGAAGGAGCAGGACAAGCGACAGAAGCAGGAGGATGAAGCTGGTGGTGGTGAAGCTCGTGACGTCTCAAGAAGAGCCAGCGAGGCATTTATTTACAAATCATGATTGGGCAGATGCTCGTCAGGTCTACGAGCTGTGGAGTGGGGTGCTGCGCTCGTGTTTCCCTTGTGTGTAGCCTGGCTGACAAAGATGGCGAATGGCTCGCATGGATTCAGCAAATATTCAGCATATGCCTCCTGTGCTTTGTGCAAGCTGAGGTTGCAGCCGTGGTGTACCACGTCGTTGCCATGAGGTGCATGTACATTTGCAGACGCGAACATATGTATAGACATATATAATAGGTACTATATATATTTCATTTTCATTCTCTGCGTTAGAGTCGTGTCCGACGCTCGCCTAGCATTGAATTCCAGGTGAAACAGATGGGCTCAGCCCCTTGCAAATGAAACCCCGTCGGGGCTGAAGGTCGCTCCAACAGCCACCAACCAATCTTTGGCGGGTCCCAAAGCACCGTCAATCCCAGTACACAGGATGACAGGAGCTGCGCCCTCACCGCCCCCTATACATTGGGCAATGCAGAAACACGCTTGTTCCAGCCAGCAAGCATACTCGGATGCACTGCGCAAGGTGATACTGCTACAACCATGAGGGGAGAGGTAGCAGGGCGGGGGGCTCTGAAGGGTGACGGACGGGCGTGAGCCTTGAACATAAAGCTGAACCGGAGCCAGGGCAGTCCACTCAACAGAGACATCAGCAGGCTCAGGCTGCTTGTCATGTGTTTGAGAGGGTGTGACCTCGAGAAGATCAGGATCGAGCAGGAGTAGCAGGTTTTGAACCGTTTCTGCAGTCTCTTCGCGGCTGCAGCACAGGGCCCAGCGACTTACCGTGCCTCGAATCACATCAAGCGGCTCCACATGATCCGTTATAATCTCCCAAAGGAGGGACTCATCGCAAGAGTCGGAATCCAGGAGTGCTTGCAGAAGTGGCTCGGAAACTCCTGGCTGGTAGTCAAACTGTGGAACACCATCAAGGCGACCCTCGGCCTGCTCCGGTGGGGCTTGCTGATGAGCGTCAGGAAAGCCCGGCCTTTCAGGCTGAAAAACACCCCATTCTTGGACGCAGCGGGCGCTATACATGAGGTGGCGTTGGAGACGCCCCATGGAGCCATAAATTTTCCCGCAGCCTCGGCAGAGGGGTTTGCTCATAGACGCCCGGAGAAGGTAGGCGTGTGTTCTATATCCGTGCACACGTTGTGCATGACAAGACCACGCGACTCTGGAAGAGAAGCTGCGCGCGCACGGGATGCATACCTCGACATCAGACCCACGCCGAGGCACAGGCTGGGCAGCAGGATCCACATAGATCCGCAGTGCACGGTAGAGGCCATCAAGGGCAGCTACCACATGGCAGCGCCGGGCTTCCAAGGCCTGCGCTCGGAGCACCCAACCTTTGAACTTCTTGGGCTCGTGTTCAAGGTAATGCCGCCAACAGTTCCAATCCTCGTCAGGATGTGGGAGCGGGCAGGTACTGTGGACCCAGCCATGGAGCCAACGGGTGGACTCTTGCATCAACTGGGAGTAGCCGCGATCAAGCTTAATGAGAGTCCAAAGCTCGTCTGGCCCGCTCCGGAACAGCTGGCCCAGATACAGGAGCCTCTGCACATGAAGCATGACTGTAGGGGCGGGCATTTTGACCAAAGCAAGCACTGTAGCAAAGGAATAGTGCTGGTCTGAGGTCCTCGGTATACATAGCACCTGTCTATAAAAGGACCAGAGCGCCCCGTAGAAGAGGCGCTGTTCCTTGTTGTTCAGCGGCGGCCAGGCACCTGCCCCGAAGAGTAGTTTGGGGAGCACAAAAGTGCGAAGGATATGGGCCTTTCTAGCCACAGGTATGCCTGGTGCCTTGAAGACCTTCCGGCGGCTCTCTTGAAAAGCAGCCCTAGCCTGCGCAATGCGATAGAGGATTTCCGGTCCCATGCGCCCTTGGAGAGAAATTTGTGCCCCAAGGTGTCGGTACTCAGTTATAAGGGGCAACATAACCGGAGCGGCATGTTCTCTCAAGGCTTGGATACGTCCTCGCATACCCTTGGACCCGAAGAGTATCTGTCGCGTGGATCTGGATCCAAGGCCGACTGGCTGGGCCAAGACAGCAGTCTTATTGTGTCCGTAGGAGAGGTGAAATCCGTACTCGGAGAATGCGTCACAGCTCGTGCCTACACTAACCTTGATTCCAGTGGGCAAATCAGAAGCTCGCTGCACGGTCCTCATGGTCGCTATGTCGTCTGCCCAGATGAGATCTGAGAGCAGATGGGTGCTCTCTCCACTGCAAGGAAGCAGATCACGAGTAGAATCCCCTGGTAAACTGGGCTCAAAAGTCACGGGGTGAGCGCATTTTGCGAGAGAATCTCGCCGAGCCAAGATTTTTTGCACAACGAAAGCGAACAGGAGATCAGCCCAAGCGGAGCCTGGGCGTGTGCCGCGCGATGTTTGTATCGGGCAATCGTCTTGTTGCATCACAAACCAAGTCGCCTCCGTGAGGCGATGGGCGACAGATTCAAGCCAGGGAGTAGCCCCTGCAGAAGCAAGGGCGGAAGGCTGTGCAGCATGACATCGAAGCGCCTCTATCTCTTCATCGGATAAGCCAAAGTTGGCCAAGCCCGGCGGCTGGCGGTCAGCAGTCGGGCCTGCCGCGATAAGGCTGCGGACGACCGAATAGAAAGCGGAGGCGATATCCGTGAACAAGATAAAGCA